CCCCAAGTAATAAGAGAAGCTTTAAATAATAAATTCCAAAAGAAAAGAGAAAAATTTTCTTCAGTAGGAAATTAATTTTTTCAGTTTTATCATAATAAAAAGTAATTACAGAGGAAGTGATCATACGACACGTGACACGTAGAAGGAAGCCTGCGAGAGAATCTCGCAGGAGGTTATTAAAAAATATCTTTTTACCCTATTTCCCTATTTTGCTGCAAAAAGTTTTATGTTATTACAAACTAATTCTGTTTTCATCTCATAAAGTCACTCAGATTCGTCACATAACCGTGTTATATTTAATAATTCGTAATCTACAAGCGGATGCCAGTGACATCGTTAATTTTTAATCAAGCTATTAACGATCCATTAAGTGTGTGTAACTGACACGTTCAACGCGAAGATCGTGCTAATCTAATTTTCTACGAGCACATCTTTTGAATAAATAAATTTTAGAAAACGCTCCGTCCATTTAAAGTAATGTTACGAAAGTGCATGTATAAAATGATGTTTTACCGATGATTAAAATTTGTCCGCGGATATCGCGTGTTCGACTTCGTTTGATGCCTATTCAATTATTACAGATCACGCTCAATTTCGCGTAATTGACGTGCGTTGAATATGAAACCTTTGGAACATCGAAAATCGAATTTCCAAAGATTGAAAACTGGTGATAACATTCGTAAATTGAGGCAGCCAGTATATTTTACGCTTGATGTTACGTCGCTTGATAGTTACGTTTAATTATTAATTCGTGGAACAATAAATGAATTTGCTCTGAAAGAATATATATTTCTATCATTGATAATTGATATTCACTTAGGATAAATATACATTTATACATTTATTTTGATTATATATTTATTTTAAGTTTATTTAGTAATACATATTTATTATATTATATATTTATATATTTATTTAATAATATATTTATTACATATATATTATATATCTATATATTTATTTAATAATATATTTATTATATATATTATATATTTGTATATTTATTTATAATAAATTTATGTAAAATATATGTTTCTAACATTAATAATCAGTAAAATATATTTTCTTTCAAAAAAAAAGAATTTTCTCTGTAAATTAACTAAACAATAAACGAATTGGTTCTCAATTAAAATAAATATACGTTTACATATTTATTTATGATAAATATATATGTAAAAAATATATATTTCGACACACATTAGTAACATTATAATCGGACACATTAATTGTATATTATTAATTATTATGTTAATTATTACATATTTTAGAAAAATACATATTATATTAATTATTACATATTTAGAAAAATATATATTATATTACATATTTAGAAAAATGTATATTATATTAATTACTACATATTTAGAAAAATGTATATTATATTAAATTATTACATATTTAGAAAAATATATATATTATATCAATTATTACATATTTAGAAAAATCGACTCTCGGAAGCGATAAAAAGTGTACAGAGGATCGCGTGAAGAATTATTTGAGGAATAAAATTTATTTATCTCATATATGTTATATATACAGACCATACACACACCAAACTAATACACTGCAGTTTTACAAGGAAGACTCATGAAATATGCAAAGATTAAAAAGCAAAGATATCCTCCTCTATTCTCTTAACGCTGTTTCTCGTTTCATTGTTTCTTTGCCTGAGCAAGGAGGAAAGATACGTGGCTGTCCTCGACGAGGTAGACGATCTTCTAGCCCCGTAATTTCCAGCCGTTTGAAATTTCAGCTGTTACACAGTTAAGCAGTCCGTCTATTGTAATGAACTGGCAATAATACAATAACGCGAGCTAGCGTAGGAGAGTTCAGCTCAACAATAAATTCACCCAAACTTACTGGAGCGCGAGGTCCTTACAACGGCAACTGTTACGAACAGCCAAAGTGAGAGTACTCTGCTCTGTTCCGGCGTTGTTCTACAACTGTTGTTGCGGGTGGAAGGTTACGCTGACTTAATGAAAGATTTCTTGTTAACATCCGTTGTTTTAACTAGAATGTACTATGTACAGTTGCACCGTATTACCGTGCGTCTACGAACGAACATCGATTTCGTGAAACTAAACATCGTTCTATCCTAAACAAAAGTCAATGCTTCTCGTTACCAAACTTTTAAATGCGCGTTTTAAATTCCTAGCGCTTGGATCTAGGGATTACATTGTAAATATTGAATTTTGTTAAGTTTCTTGATGATATTAATTTTGGCTTCTAGTGTCGAGTAACGATGGTTATATGTTATACATCGTGGAATAATTATTTATTTATCTTTTAAAATATATAGTATTTGTATTTTTAATTATAAATTAAATAATTTGTAAATATATGGTATTTGTATTTTAAATTATAATAATTATAATTTTAAATATATAGTATTTGTATTTAAAATTGTAATAATTATAATTTTAAATATATAGTGTTTCTATTTTAAATTATAAGTAATTTTAAAATATATAGTATTTGCATTTTAAATTATAATAATTATAATTTTAAATATATAGTGTTTGTATTTTAAATTATAATAATTATAATTTTAAATATATGGTATTTGCATTTTAAATTATAATAGTTATAATTTTAAATATATAGTGTTTCTATTTTAAATTATAAATAATTTTAAAATATATAGTATTTGCATCTTAAATTATAATAATTATAATTTTAAATATATAGTGTTTGTATTTTAAATTATAAATTAAGTAATTTTAAATATATAGTATTTGTATTTTAAATTATAAATAATTTTAAAATATATAGTATTTTAAATTGCAATAATTATAATTTTAAATATATATTTGCATTTTAAATTATAATAATTATAATTTTAAATGTATAGTATTTGTATTTTAAATTATAATAATTATAATTTTAGATGTATAGTATTTGTATTTTATATTTTAAAATATATAGCTTCTCTATTTCTTAGCAAGTTCTAACATTTCTACTCAATTTCGTAGTTTTCACCTAAAATTTCTCGCTTTTATAATTTTTCTCTGAACTACGTCAATTTGGCTTGGCAAATTTCGCTCTTTTCATCGGTATTAAAGGGCAATATTTTTTAATCCAGGAATCCCTGCGCCTTTAATTTAAAAAATATTGTTCCCCAGCGCTGTAATATTTTGCTACAAAATGTTCGTAACATTGAACGAAAATATTCTTCTGCGTTCATCGAAGGAAATTATATCGACTTAAGTTGACAACATTTTCTGAACTTCGAAAACTTTCGTTCTTGCAAATTTCTCATCACAGTTTTTGTCACCAATGTGCTCGTTGAAAATCTACATAAAATTTCTTTTTGCGATAAATAAATTCGCGAAAGTGAAAATACCTTCCTCGAGATATTGAATGCTAATTACTAGTATGTAAAAGTGAAATTCACAAGTTCACGACAAGCAGGGATGATCAATTTTCGCTTCGGAGAAACTCTTATAATCTCGATACGATGTAATTAAAATAATATTTGAAATTCCTTGATACTCCGCGATACCGTGCACTTAATCAACGATCATCGAGGTTAATTATTTACTGTACTCTTCCCCGAACGTGTTCTCCCTTCAAGCTCGGCGCAAATTATTCAATGATTACTCGTACGAAAGTTTTCCAACGCTTGGACGATTGGATTAATATTAATAGCGGGAAGAAAAGAATCCCGGCTTTGAAGATCAACAACTATTAATTATATTATAAGGAGAAGAATTGTTTTTGTTGTTATAATCATTTCCTGAGAAATTTGTTTCTGTCATATTTCTAATATTTGCGTCGTCCTTTTAGTGAATTTAACGGATCTCTATTGTAGTTTCTGTTATAATACTTGTGTCATACTTTTGGTAACTTTAGAAAATTTATATATTGTAATTTTTATTATAATTGTGATACCTGTGCCACTCTTTTGATAAATTTAGTAAATTTATAGTGTAATTTCTATTGTAATTACACTATACTTGTGCCAACATTTTAATAAATTTAGTAAATTTATGTTGTAATTTTAGTATTGTTTTATAATTGTAATTATTTTGTAATTAATCATGACTATTCCAATTATACGATATTCGTGCCACTTTTTTAGTAAATTTATACTGTAATTTTTATTATTAATATTATAAGTACAATCATTGGCACTGTTTCAATAAATTTAGTAAATTTATGTTGTAATTTCTATTAATCATAATTATTATTTTATAATTAATCATAATTATTCCAATTATACGATACTTTAGTAAATTTATACTGTAATTTTTATTATTAATATTATTAATATAAGTACAATACCTGTGGCACTCTTTCAATAAATTTAGTAAATTTATATTATAATTTCTATTAATTATAATTATTATTTTATGATATAATTATGATCATAATTATTTTTTAATTAACCATAATTATTCCAATTATACGATGCTTGTGCCACTTTTTTTTTAGTAAATTTATATTGCAACTTTTATTATAAGTACAATACCTGTGACACTCTTTCAATAAATTTAGTAAATTTATATTATAATTTCTATTATAATTATAATTATTATTTTATGATTGTAATTATTTTTTAATCACAATTTAATATAATTTTTAATAAATAATCATTCCAGTTATACAATACTCGTGCCTTTAGTAAATTTAATAAATTTATTTACTTCTCTTTCACGCAATTTATTCGATAATTAAAATAAATGAATCCTGTTCTTAATAGAAAAAAAAAGTTAAGATAGCATTCGTTCAATGAAATTGCAAATCTTTCACTCACAAAAGAAGATCATTATCGTCTCGCCTGATATCGAATAATTTATTAATACGAAATCCTCTCTTATCTATTTCTCAGAAACAACTATTCAAGGTGAAAGTTCAAGGTAATGTTCTTAGTAATTGTTCGTTATTGGTAGATCCAATGTAAAAAAAAAAGAAAAAGCGCTACCACAAACCGAAACTTTTTTAAACTTTAGAGGGTCGTAGAACGACTGAAAACACGAATGGCTTCTCTGTTGTTTCAGGCGCGAACAATGTAAACGAACCGCCTATCCTGGAACCAGGTGGATACCCTGCGGGCCTGCCGCTCTCCGAATCAACCAAAGTCGGTACGGAAGTGTTCGTCCTCAAGGGCCACGATCCCGAAGGATCACCGGTGAAATATGGCATACAACTCACGGACCATTTCGTCGTAAATCCACGCACCGGCGTTATCACGTTGGCGAAACCTCTGAATCGCGAGGTGAGTCGCGAGTTCATCTCTCTTCTTTCGTATCGTTGTTGCTTCGACACACCGCTGTTCTTCAGAAGAACAAGCCGTGGACAACGCTGTGTTGGAAAATTGCGATGCAAACGCGCGTGTAGACGAATTATCTTTATAACGGAGAGCATTGTATTAATCATGCTATTGGTCAGTGATTTTAGTTTAGTTTGTGATTTAGATTTTTGTTTTTGATTTATTTAGGCTTCCCTAGGTTATTGAGCGTAGAAAATTGTTTCTAATAACTCATAATTATTGAAAAGAATGGAATTGCTAGCGAAAGTTTACTCTTGAAACAAAATGTTGCTATTAAAAGCTGCTAGTTGTCGATTTCCTTCAATCTTGACGTATCTTGACGAGCGAAATAATTTCTAAAATTATTAATCGTGCTATTAGTCAGTGATATTAGTTTACCCAGGGAGATTTAGGCTTCCCTAGGTATTGAGCCTAGAAAATTATTTCTATTAATTTATAATTATTAAAAATTACTAGTTCCCAATTTCCTTCAATCTTGACGTATCTTGACGAGCGAATTAATCTCTAAAATTATTGATCATGCTACTGGCCAGTGATATTAATTTGCTCAGGCAGGTTTAAGCTTCCCAGACAGTCTAGATATTATTATTTAAGTATTGAGCCTAGAAAATTATTAAGTAGGTATTGAGCCTAGAAAATTATTATTTCTAATCTTTATTATATTATATTATTTAATTATTATCATCATTATTATATATTTTTATATATTATTATTATTATATTACTAATCATCATTAGTATATATTTTTATATATTATTTTCACTATATTATTATCATCATTATGATATATTTTTATATATTTTTACTATATTATTATCATCATTAGTATATATTTTTATATATTATTTTTACTATATTATTATCATCATTATTATATATTTTTATATATTATTATTACTATATTATTATCATCATTATGATATATTTTTATATATTTTTACTATATTATTATCATCATTAGTACATATTTTTATATATTATTTTTACTATATTATTATCATCATTATTATATATTTTTATATATTATTATTACTATATTATTATCATCATTATTATATATTTTTATACATTATTTTTACTATATTGTTATCATCATCATTATATATTTTTATATATTATTTTTACTATATTATTATCATCATCATTATATATTTTTATATATTATTATTACATTATTATTATTTTTTAATCTCTCAGCATGCAAAGGGGTGGTCCTGTCTTTCTTTATTTCAAACCGAAGAATTGTTCCCGAGAGTCGTTCGAGAAACTTAATAATTCAGCGCGTGAATCGGTACTGGGAGCCTATTGGAGGATTCCCCGATAATATCGGTTATCATTCGCGCATCGTATTTACATGCAATAAAGAGACGGATCGGTCGGCAGCGATTATTATTGAAAAGCTATTTCGGGAAGTCTGGCCGATAATCGATACACGGTGTATTACGAAACGTGCAGATAAATGACGCCAATGTAAAAGACAACGTAACAACGTTAATAATTCACGGTGCTCGCGTATAATCCTAGATAGTCGTGTCTGCAAATCGTATAAATATCGTGTGCGACCAATGCGGCGTCGATCGATACTGATTCACACACTGGTAACTCATTGTGGGCTCGTCTCTTCGCGGTTCTCGATGGAAATGAATCGGAACGTCTTGTCAGTCGAGGATCTCACACTTTCTCTTATTTCTGACTTTGTGGGAAAAATCGTCGCGTGAAATGCGAAAGATTGACTGTGTTGCGTATAAATTTTCTTCTCAAGTGAACCACAGATTTTTATGCGCGGACCATAACGAGTGACCGAACCGTATACAATAATTCGTCGCTCTCTTTTTTTTTTTTTTTTAACTCGTCGGTATGACATCACCGGATGGAAATTATTGAGAAGTAATAAGCTTATCATTTGTCTCGCCTGGGTTACATTTAAATATGCTTAGAAACTGAGAAAACGTTGCAATTTGGGACAAAAAATTCTCGCATTCCAACGCAAGATGTTAATAAGAGATTTGCAGATGCATAATAATTATTATTAACTGAGAATAATTACTATTAACTAGGAATTGTACACATTGTTTTAAAAATGTGAAACTGGTGAATTTGAATGAATTATCTTCGCTAGATTTAGTTCTAGTAATTGGTAACTATCTAAAGTAAGATTGAGTAAGTGATTATGATGACTCGTAAAGAATTACATTTATTTACAAAACTTCACGACAGTTCGATCGTTTGATCTCGACTCGAAATACTTTTTATAATATTTAATAATTTTGTTACGTTTTTTTTTAAATTATGAAAATATGGAATTGACGAAAATATAAAATATATAATAAAATATAATAAATAGAATATAAAATATAAAATATATAATAAAGTATAATAAATAAAATATAAAATATATAAAATAAAAAAAATATATATAATAAATAAATATATAAAATATATAATAAAAAATTAAATAAAATAAAATATAAAATATATAAAATAAAATAAAATATAAAAAATGAAATAAAATAAAATATAAAATATATAAAATAAAATAAAATATAAAAAATAAAATAAAATAAAATATAAAATGTATAAAATAAAATAAAATATAAAGTATATAAAATAAAATAAAATATAAAATATATAAAATAAAATAAAATATAAAATATATAAAACAAAATAAAATATAAAATATATAAAATTGAAAATATATAAAATATATAAAATTAAAAAATAAAATATAAAATATATAAAATTGACGAATTTGAATAATCTCGTGCAACACATCGTATGATTTAGTTAATTAATACTATATAATTAAGATCGAATAGATAATTACGATTCTCGGAGGATTTCTGTTTAATTTACATTTATTTGCAAAAAGAAGTTCGCAATAACACTCGGCTGTTTGATTTTAATTCGGGATTTTAATCTTCATAAAAGCTCGTCCATGTTAAATGTGGTCGTATATTACAAACACTGTAGAAGGTTTCTTATTAACAGCAACTCCACTTTCAACCTTCTTTAAGATAAAAGAAATACGATCCGGTAGCTACTAATAAATGTGATCCCTTTTGTCTTCTTCCTGTTTCCAGATTCTCTCGCGAAAGAACCGGGCTTTATGCTTAACGAGCTTCACGTGCAGAAAAATTTCAGGCCTTTGTTATTCAAAATTACCCGAACATTTCTCAAGACAGTATTTGAGTATTCTCGATTCTATCAAGTTTCTGTCAACATTAATCGTTTTATAACGCGTCGTTTTGTATGAAAATATAAACATTGTTATAAGCATACGTTGTTGTATGTACATATCTCCTTCCGTATGATATTTTTAAATTCACGATTAATATTTAAATTTTCAAAACTTGAATATCCTTGATTGAACTTTGTAAATCCTCGAAACTTGAACTGTCGATATTATTTTGCGAGAGGAATTGAGTTGCTTCAAGAACTGGAATCAGCAAATTTGTATAAATTTTTGTTGGTCACAGTTAAACAAGATACAAAAAAACAAAAACGTAGAAAAATATCTGACACACATCTCTACTAACATCCAAAGTATGTTCTGGATTTAATCCATAATACTAGAAATCTTTTTTTATAGTGTCGACGATAGTGTTATAATTTTGTTGATAATTACTTCAGGTCGTTTCAGAATTATGATAGTATGCAAAAATATAAAATATAAAATATCCAAAGAGGAGTATTAATCATGACACTACTACGTAGAGAGAGCAATTTTCTACGCAGGTACCATTTCTTCAATTATATTCATAAAAATTTCATAAAAACGCATAAAAGTCCGTAGTCTAACTAAGATGCACTTTATTCTGGACATTTTTGCATATTGCATGGATTCAGCACATTTCTGCACAACTCTCACTTTACAGACGTGTAAAATCTGCATCCCATGATAAATTATTATTCAATATAATATATTATATTATATTATTTTATTTTATTTTATTTTATTTTATTTTATTTTATTTTATTTTATTTTATTTTATTTTATTTTATTTTATTTTATTTNTATATTATATATACGTTATTATTCAATACAGTATAATCATTTACGAAAAATTTTAATCGCGTAAGAGACTAAAGTACGTTCACTAATACGCAGCGAACACTCGGGTGACTTGTCACCGAATAAAAACAAAGTGAAATAAATAATTTTTATTTGGTGCTATGAAAATAAAACAAAAAGTGAAATAAAAATAAAAGAAATAAAAACAATTTATCTTCCTACGAAGACGAAAGAAAGCGATAATTTTTTCAGAAATCATACATATAAATAATCCCTGCAAAATTATAATTATAATTACAATTATATAATTATCGAGTGGCAAGATCGATTGTAATCAAATTGGAACATGCGTTCGAAGTAGATACAACTCTGTAGCGTGAAACGATGTCGGAACGTCCAAGGGTCGCCGATCGGATAAACGATCTAATGCTGATGGCTGTTACGCATATTCAAGAATTAGCGCGGGCACGCGCAGTGCGTGGCAAAACGTTCGTGTCTGGCCCTGTGTTCGGCTGGATTAAATCAGTGCCGATTAGTTACCGAACGGACAGACGATCTCGTTCTATGAAACGCGTGACTCCCCGCGGCCTTTAATTGCCATATTTGCGACTCCGCGAATGCCATTTACCCCTGAAAGGGACTGATAAACCTCTCCGCTTTGCGCACGGTGATCCGTTTTCGATCTAACAGGAAATTTACTTGCTTTTGAGAGTAAGCATGAAACATTCGCTTACTTTGAACGAGAGTTTCTGTTGTGTTGGAATTTTTATTTACAGTAGAAATTCGAACTAAATTTCAACCGATGATTCTGATGCTTGAATAAAAATTAACGAGAGTCATAACGGTCTTTTGTTTATTTATCAGCTGCATCTTTTTCCCTTAATTTTAATCAGCAATCTGAACGAAGATTTTGATTGTCAATGATTGTCGTCT